GGCGTAAAAGAAGTTAGAACTGCAGAGTTATAAATATATATAGATATAATCTATAACTACTAACTTGTCTATTTACTAATATTATTAGCTAATAGATTATCAGTCATCATAACTAGCAGAAAAGTAAAAGGATCCATGCAATCGTTTATTAGGTTTGCGTTTCATAATAATGTCTAATTGATAATTATGCAATTTAGTGATTTTTCTCAATTGAGATTATTTAACTCGAGTTGCATAACTGGAATAATATTATTTATCTTTTGCTACCCTGCAAACTTCTTATTAAAAAATATTCTTTATTCAAAATTTTACAAGACTCAAATTACGAATTGCTAATTCTAATCTATTTTCTTCTATGACAGTAAGTTTGGTGATAAGAAAATTTTATAATTTGTCAATTATTTTTGGCAAAATTGCAAAATTGTAAAAGAGAAGCCTATAACTTACAAATTATAATTTAATTACATATTGATCGCTAGATTATTATCATTAAATTACCATCGATTAGTAAATTATTGTTCAAAATATAATGCAGTTGCAAATGACAATTAAGATTTGAAACGATAATTTTGTTTACATTCACGTGTTACAAAGTGTTGACATATTTTAAATACGCATTAAAAGTATCGTTAATTAATGTATTATATAATACATATGTACTTCGCATTCTATTGTTATCTCTTTTTGTAATAGAGATATGAATGCGCAATAACGATTCCGAGTCCGAATGTATGTAAAATAATTGAATGCGGCTTCAAACCCGTGACGTAATTCAAACCCGGAAACATGTTTCGAAAGTGCTCCTTATAGTACAATAAAAGTTATCAAAGCACGCGATAAAATTAATTTAAAAAAAGTTGTGATAAGAACTTGATGTAGTAGTACTTTTTTTAATGTAGTAAACTCCTGAGTATATTTATTTTATGTATACTTTTACTTTAATGTTCAATTTTGAAAGCATAATAATGTGGCGGCGATAAATTCAGATTTGGAGAAATACACGTCGGCCTATCTATTTATTATCTGACTTATTACCTGAATCAACGAATATGTATCGATGAAAGACCACTATCATAACGTTCTAGTTACAAATACTTTTGAAAATTTATATACAATTTAATATAATTTATAAGTCTCAATTTATCCAATATATGTATGCATAAGTTATTTCAATAACATTAAATATTACATGTAAAATGAATAAAATATTAACAATATTGAAAAAATACTATGTATTGTAATATTATGAATATTACAATATAAAGAAATATAAAAAAGGTATTAAAATATATCAAAACTGCAAAAAGATATTAAAAAATCAATAAATTGTACTAGAATCGTTATATCATCTTCGATATAACATAACATATAAAATATCAAGGATATTAAGAAACATATTTTGCTTTGAATTATACTAAAATAATCGGCATATGCACATGTACTTGTAAACCCTAATTTATCTACTTTATACATTATTCTAACGAGATATTTAAAACATATGAAACTACATTCAAGATATTAAAAATATTGTAAGATACAAAAATATTTTAGAAATATTAAGTAGTATTAAAAAATGAATAAACTTATGATGTTCTATTTTGAATTATACCAGCAAAATTAATTAGATATCTTTGAAATCAAACTGGATTCAAATAGAATTGAAAAAAGTTTTCCTTGATCTTCATTTTCATTTTGAGGTTATTTATGAACTGACAGAAATAACGAAGAAAGGAATTAAAGTATTCAAAAACATTCGATGAAATTTTAATATTGTTAGATACGGTGTTGTTGCTACCGTCACTGCTATCGTCTACACACTACACACCGCCAGCACAGTCTCTCAGGGACACCACTACACAAAAAGCGAGGAGTACCAGTGTAGCCCCGTCGTTCTTGCCATCGCACGCGGCGTCCAATGCCCCGTCCGGAGGTAGCAGCCGTGGTTTCCACTCGGCACACGTGCACCGCGCGCAGTGGGTCATTGCTCTCCTGTGTTCGAAAGTAATATCGTTACAGCGCACGGCACTTGTCCCAGGCATGATCACCACGAAATGCAATTAATTTGCTCATTTATAATTAATTACGTACTAATATATACCTATAATGAACTCGCTAGATTCTTCAACTTTTTTTTAATTTCTTGTCTAAGGTAACCAATTTCTTCAATTCCGTAGGATTGTTTAGTAATTATGTTAAATTTTAATATGTACAAATTTGTAAGTATCTTAGGTAAAATGTTTGTCGAATTTTATTGTGATAAAATAAAAGATAAAATTTTCGTGTATCGTGACAAAAAGAGAACTAATGATACATAACAAGGAAACAATAATGACAGATAAGGCAAGGATAGTCAACTAGTGACGAAAACTGAAAGAAAGAAAGAGAAAGTAATACACGCGCCGATCATGAATTCACCAACACATTTGCGTCGACCGGATTTAACCTCTGGCAGCTTCCTGTACCGGCTGTTAAATATCATGCAGACTGCCTTTTCCTCGTCATTAATGAACACTCCTTTTCGATGTGCTAATGTTTTTGCATTTACAGGTGTATATGAATACCTGATAACTAATGCTTTTAACTTTTATAAAAATATTTTACTTTTTGTATTTTTCAAAATACATACATGTAAACATTGGGAATTAAAGATCTCATTTCTTTCAATTTAATGTTTATGACTATATATAATATATATATATATATTATAATATGTATTTAGTATTTCATACATGTATTTACAAAATTTACAATTTTTAAAATAACATAATAAATATAACAATGTTGTATTTTAATACCGTTTATTTACTAATTTTTGCATTTTTTACTCAAAAATTTGCTAAATAGAAATAACTGTTTATCTATATAATACTACATACACATATACTATATGCCCAATATAAATAATTTTCGAACACGAAAGTCGAGCGAACCGACTTAGATTCGACGTAAGTGATATAAACCCCGAGCCGAATACATATTTTGATTATTCTAGCGATGGTAACAAATCTGTGATTAATCAACCTTATCATAACGTACGGTGGCGTCACATATGCGTGTGTAGAATACGCGTCTCAGTCTCTATAGACTGAAGATATCTATGTCTCCGTCTGTCGACGGTCTTTGTCATGCTTATATCGCGGGGTCGGCCGAAACCACGACTACTGCCTCCACGTGCTGCGAAAAGCACTTACTCGCCCTAAATTGTAGGTCGCCGCCGTTGTTGCAGTAGTGGGGGCAACCAGAGTGGAGGGGCAGGGTCGAGCACGGCACTTCGGTCATGATCGATGATTTCCGTCGCCGTTCGGTATGGCCAGGCGGTAAACATTACACAGTACGATTGGCCGTGTCCTGAGGGTCCTTTGGTTTCGTTTTCGAGTTTGAGTTTTTCGTCGGCATTCAGTTGGTGAGAAGTGACAAACAAACGTGATATGCGTTAAAGAGAACATCCGTAATTCGTTTCTGTTCTGATTTCTCGCGTTATTTCGTTTATTCGTTGTTCTCCAAAGGATGATGAGCTGGAACGTGGGATTTCTTGGCCGTGGAAGGGTTTAACGAAAACCTCACAGGTGGGAGATTTTGACATTTCTGCGTCATATATTCCACGAGAAACAATAAATTTATAATAGAGACTTTTGATACTGTGGATTTTTAAAGACTATTGAAAACGATAGTTAAACGTAGTTTTGCTTACATTCCTTTCAATTAGCTAAATTAACATACGTACTGGAATTTTATTATATAAAAAATTGTAAAATCAATGACAATTCAAAAGAAATGATAATTTGAATCTGTACTCGATCTTTTTATGGACAGCCAATGTTAAGATGTAATACAAAATTAAGTATTTTTTTTTTTTTTTAATTTTCGAAAAACATTATTATTAAGAAAGTGGAGGAAAGAGCGAGAAATTGCTGACTCTGAAATCGATAGTTTTCTCCTTGGCCGCGAACTTCGGTCGCGCTAGTGGCGCTATTTTTCGTGATCAATCGCATTTTCCGTATCCTGGAAGTGTTGCGAAATTGATAAAAAGGATAGGAGATTGAGGTGGGGGGGAGGGGATATCTTTGTGATAAAAAGAAAGAAAAATCGCGATAGATTCGCTTAGGAGAGGCGATATGTAGCTGCGGTTCGTGATGTAACTCAACGTCCTTACTGCGCGGCGAGTTGCACGAGGTCGGTGATCGCTATAAAAAAATGCGGAGAATACACGTGGAGGCAGTGGTAGGCGGTTTCTACCGCGGCGCGGTATTGCACCACCGCCGACCGCGACGACTGCCTCACTGAGAGCCGCGCGTGCAGGTTTAACCCAGCCTTAACCTATTCTGAACCGACGACCTCGTACGAATGTGCGAACAATGTCGGGTTTCTTCAATAAGCTTTCCTATTAAATTAGAAATTTAGATGTCAAGCGTTTCCATTACGTCTTGCTATTTAAATAGCCTTCAAGGAATATACTAAATTAATTTTACTCGAGAGATTAATATGTATGTATATTTATTAAGATCAGTGGAGCTACTGCTGTTTTACTACGTATCTCTGATGGCATTAATTAAAATTTAAAATGGTCTTGTTACACGATTTCATAAAAAATTTATCGAAATTTGTTTGAGATAAGATTATTATTATTATGTCTTAAGAAATTGATTGAGAAATACTTAATTAATAAATGGTAAATAAATCTTTGGTTGTAAAAATACTAATAAATGTCAATCTAAATATTCTTAATTTTATTGATATAGTACGTAACAGATTAAAATGATAATTTTTATTTCAGGCTATTGTGTAATGGAAATTTCTTTACTTTCATATATATAAATTTCTGTAGAACGAAATTGATAATGTGTATTCTAATTAGCAAACTCTCTATTTCATATTTGTTAACAATTATTACTAAAAAGATAAAAATAATCTTACAAATTACTTTTTATACAATAATACAAAATGAAAGAAAAAATATAGCTTCTTAAAACATAAAGTCAACAGTAATGGTGTATTATATAGTAAATAAATTAGTAGGAAAATATCATTGGTAAGTGGTTAAGATGATCATGGTCTTTTTCTAAATAAACGGAATGAAAAGGTAGTGAGTGTGACAGGTTCGGTGCGTCGATAATACGTTCGGGTCCATCATAGGCCCGGTAAAATCGGGGACGGGCTAAAATTGCAGGATGCGTGCGCGTATGTGATGCGCGAACGTGCGTGTACCCACGGGGCGGCGCGTCGCACGATTCGTGGGCGTTTTTTTAGGATTTGAAAAGAGTCAAATGGTGGGGAACGGAGCCGTATTACCCCAGTGTTTCGAAGCAGCGCGTAATCAAAGCGTTTAGACACAGTTGCGTTCACACGTAGGACGACGCAACGTCATACTGTTTCCTTCTTATCTATTGCATGTCGATCTACCTCACAAGAATAGTCTTCCACTGTACAAATAAATGCTTTATTGTTATTGTTATTATTCTACAGGTAAATCGACTTGATGACGTTTTTGTATTTATATTTATATTTTTTTAAATAGAGTTTGATGATCAAAATTATAACTTCTGTACTATAAAAATATCGCATTTTCTTTTTCTTTTTTTCTTCCTTTTAAATGAATTTTGATGATTATAATTGATTATATATAAGACTTATTCTTTTTTTTGTATTATAAAATTTTCCTGGACAGATATATTTAAAGACAGTACCTGTTATATATTGTGTTGATTAATTGTAACTTTGAGCGATGCTTTTTAAAACATTTTTTATAGAAAATAAATTCGTTACCGTTTTTATAATTTACTTCGTAAAATTTGTAATTTGTAAAAAATATATGTGCACTGAATTATTGAAGAACATTGTGAAATGCTTTTAATGTTATGTACATTGTTGCAGCATGCCATTTGTTTTCATGACAGAGTCACGTAAATAAATTCCATTGTAATACTGAAATCCAAATATAATACTTACACTTGTCTTTAAAATGATATCATTTTTCGATTTCATTACTTCAATTCAATTTATCCAGATATGAAAAGTGAAATAAATATTTACGAAGGCTCGCTACAAATATGTTAATTTATTGAATAAATGCCTTTAATTTATTTATTAATAGCATTTTCAAATAATAAATTTTTCACCTGAATTTTAAAACAGTGTTTTTCAACTGCGAATTACTTGTAGTGATTCCATATTCTATGGTAAATTTAATAACTTTAAAAAATCCTATTCAATAAAAATCAGCCATCGTTTTATTCTATTACTTTCAGATTGATACGTTCGTAGCGAAGAATGGTGAGTTACTATCAAGCGAAACAGATGACAAATTCGACGAGTATGTCGGTCAACAACGAGATATCAACCGTGGAGCCAGTAAATCCGGTGAAAAGTCTCGTATGTAGTCCGGATTTGAGCGTGTTCACACCAGCGTGCAGTGGCGAGACTCTATCGGCAAACGTCGAGGAGAAGACGTACCAGTGTTTGCTGTGTCAAAAGGTTTTTAATCAGAAGAGTTTGTATCAGAGCCACCTCCGTTCGCACGGTAAAGAAGGCGAAGATCCTTACCGATGCAATATTTGCGGGAAAACTTTTGCGGTACCTGCGCGATTGACTAGACATTATCGTACGCATACTGGTGAAAAACCATACAGATGCGAATTTTGTGGTAAATCGTTTTCCGTAAAAGAGAATTTAAGCGTGCATCGTCGTATACATACGAAAGAAAAGCCTTATAAGTGTGGTGTGTGCGAACGTGCATTTGAACATAGTGGTAAGCTGCATCGACATATGCGAATTCACACCGGAGAACGGCCACACAAGTGTACGGTCTGCTCGAAAACGTTCATTCAAAGCGGACAGTTGGTAATACACATGCGCACGCATACCGGGGAAAAACCATACGTTTGCAAGTCCTGTGGCAAAGGATTTACATGCTCTAAGCAACTGAAGGTACATACCCGCACGCACACCGGGGAGAAACCTTACACTTGCGACATCTGTGGTAAAGCCTTCGGTTACAACCATGTCCTCAAATTGCATCAGGTTTGTTCACTTCTGATAATATACTATGCATAGATGAAGTTTTGTATATATAAAATCTCCATAATTTATTCACTGATATTACTTTATATTAACACTTATATTTAGCTATAATTAATATAACTTATATTCTAACCATTTGTTGCTTTAAACAAAGATTACATAATAATATTATATTATTTTATAATAACGTCAATATAAAGTAAACTCAGTTTCATAAGGATAAGTCCAAGATTTAATGTATTATAATTACATATATAATTATATATACCTATACGCATATACATGATTTCTTAAACATTATCATCAGGTATATGTAAAATTTAATTAAGGCCTTCCAAATTTTACATACACCTGATAATAAAGTTTAAAATTTAATGGTTAAAATTTAATTAATGCCTTTCAAATTTTAATTCAAATTAATGTTACGTTATAAAATGTAAATTATAATGATTTTGTAATTGTTTTGTAATTTTAATGTTCCATTAGAGACTTAAACTCATATAATAAACTATTATAAATGTATTAGGTTGCCCACTATGGTGAAAAAGTTTATAAGTGCACACTATGTCATGAGACGTTTGGTTCAAAGAAGACAATGGAGTTACACATTAAAACACATTCAGACTCATCGGTCACTGGTTCTCCTCGGGACTCACCAATTGAGCCAGAGATTGAGATCTCGCAGGCAAATAGTGTAGGCACTGCTAGTGACAAGGAGAACTGCAAGACTGAAGAGCCAATTGACGATCCTGCTGCTTATGACGACACTCCACGAGATTTTCCTTATTACATGTATTCCAGAGAGCAGTATTCACAACCGCTTCTGATGCCTAGTGAAGATAGAGCTTTTCAAACGACGTCTGTGGTCCCTGTAGAACAGTCTCACTTGTTTCTGTATCCTGAGGTTTCTCCAACATACACTGGTCTTGGAATTCAAAGCAACGAATTTGTCAGTGACTGCTCGTCTCTTCTCAATTTACCAGGGAACGACGCTCGTAGAAGAGTAGAGGCTGCACTGGAAGCAGTCGAAGAAGAAAGACAGAGGGAGTATGGCATCAGGATTGAAAGAGAACCGATTTTAACTCCTCCAAGTAGCAATCCCGTAAGTCCTGTTCCTTCGCCGGATCCTCTCGATTTGGCAATTCCAGTACGAGAAACTTTAATTCTCCCTCCAAGAAAACGGTGTAAAATGATCCTGGAGTCAATGGAAAGTGAGAGAAATGGTCTTATCGCCTCTCAAAGACAGAACTCTGTTATCCAATTTGCAAAAGCATCATAGTGCAAGATGTGGAAGAAATTGATTCTGAACCAGTGATAATTTCATAGACGGTGAGACATAATCTAAGTTTTGTGAGGAGGTATAAAGAACTAGATACTAGAGGTGTGCGGTTATGCCTATGTTCAGCAACGGAACGAACCTCTTGATAAATGAAATCGGACGGCTTGTTGGCACACTCGTTTTGCCCGAATGTTTCGGGATAAGCATGAACTGACAGTATTGCTTTGCATCGGTTCGACAGAAGATCGACTCAAAAGCCCGATAGATCCAGCTATGTATTAAGAGGAGATTGATAAACATGTTTTTTGTATGCTAACTTAAAACTGTAAAGCATTTGGTTTTTTCATATAGAGTTTGTAGCAAACAGCGTGCTTTTAGTCGTTTATACTTATTTTATTTTAACCTTATACTTTATTTTTTATGTAAAGTCATTGAAATATTTTGTAATTAACTTAAAATCATTGTTAAAGTAAAAAGAATCTTTCTTCCAAATTTTCCAAATATAATATTTATTCATTTAAGATTTATCATCACCGTTTCTTTCCATTTCCTTTTAATACGTAGTTGAACGTATCGGGCTCTGAAACTAATCCTGTCCGACTTTTGCCTAGCCGATCAAAAGCGATACTGCCCGTTCATGCTTATTCCGAAACATTTCGGAATCCGAGCAAAACGGGTGTAGTGAGTCCCGCTCGAAATTCTTTTTTTGTTGGTCCGTTTGAAGTTCGGAACATGTTCGAGACGATCCGCACATCTCTACGAGATATACATTCAGAGTAGTAATGGGCTGAAAAAATTCAGATAACTAATGTTACAAATTGCTGAAGAACTTGTTGAGCTTTTAATTGTCTTAACAAACTTTGAATTTTGGAGTATAACGATTAAAATATGACTAATAGAAATAATTTTAATGCACTGATAAAATATTTCAATACTGTTACAACAAATTCAAAGATTTTAAGACTTTTAAATCTTACATTATATTGAAATAAGATAGACATTTAAGAGAAAGATGAAAAAATGCCCATTGCTAACTGATTAAAGAACTTTGTGCTGCGGGAATGATAGAGTTATCTTGCAGTGGAATTTCACTGCGGTATTATACGATCTGAGTTAATTGTTTTTATACCGAGTATTTTCTGAATATTTTGGGGTTTTCTTCAAACATTCAAATACTTTTTCAAAACGAAGTACAAAGAATAAGAAATTGATGGAAATAATTTTTCTAATAGAGTCGTATTTAATTTTTGCGACTGACAAGAAACATTTAATTAGTGATCGAACTGACAATAACTTTTCTTACATTTTGAACTGTGAAAGTTTGAAGAAAGTCGAAAATTATGTCGGAAAATATACTTTACAAGCCTTAAATGAACCAATAGAAAAACGTCCAGTAATTTTACTGAAATGACTTGAAAAAGTAATTCTGAAAACTTTGCAGTCTAATAAGAGTATGATACAGTGGCCTCATTACATTCGCAGATTCAACTGGTTCCGAGAACTGTTTACACGTGCCTCAGGGTAAACATCGTAACACACTTAGAGCTCGCCAGCAGATCATCTATTACTTATAAACTGCCAAAGGATATAAAGGAAATGCTAGCTCTTTTCGTACTATCGCAAGCTATTTGGAACATTTTTGACAAGAATAATATCAGAAAAGGATTCCCATTCAGAACTGCATTAGCTGAACATTATGAATCTAAAAATTGTATAACTTACAATGTTAAATGATTTTATTTTATTTTTAAAAACGCCGAAATTCTGCGTTATAAAAAATGAGATCGTTCGTTCTACTTTCTTCAATATAATATGCGTAGCTGGCGTGCTCAGTGTAATTTTTCGTATTTCACGTTATATAATATATATAGATATGTGTGTGTGCGTGTGCATATATGTATGTACATCATTGAATTGTAACGAATTAGTGTAAAAGTAATGAAGATCGTGCAGGTCACCGTGGCAGAACTAGCATCATCATTATAGAGGGCTTAGAACGATCGTAATCGGGAGAATTTTTAGATTTTATTTTAGCTTTTGTTGTACAAAAAAAAAGTACAAAAATATTTGACACAAAGAATATAAATAATACGATTAACCTATTATAATATTTCTAAAAGTCAACCAATTCAAATTCTGAACAAATGAATTCAAATAAATTATTTAATCTTTTATATTGATAAATTATAATTTAAAATTTTATCCAGATTTTAAAAATTTGATATAAACAATCGAACGTATCGACTATTTCCGAAACCTACGCCACTGTTACCAAAAATGAATCGTTTTCTTCCTCCAAGTAATTTATTCCTTTTTTCTGGAGGTTAAATTAAAATGTTATGCGTGTTTGCTATATTATAAGGTTTTCTATATCCAACGTTTACGCGAAGATCAAAGATTTAAATTTCTTGCCAAAACTAACAAGACTGATACCAGTCTAAAGAAAAATTTTCTTTGCATAAACAAATTTCCAACTACGTATTAATACGATGCGATAAAAGTGATATTAAAATATGTTATTGCTCAATTTCGTCATCATTAGTCTCGTAATGTTTGTTTAAACAAACTATTTAAATCATCCTTATTAATGATTTATCATTGCATTGAAAACGAACAGGAAATACATTGAAGGCACTGTACAAATTCAATTTACATACTTTCATAAATGATTACTTTTAATTCCAAAATGCGCTTCCAGATGGCGCTAGTTTGCTGTCACAAATTGGTAACAATATTTAATCCTGTAATAATTGGTATATTAATATCTTGCAGTTTATTCTTTTCTTTATTTCTTAACAAATGTATACAAATTATGAATTGCTTTAAATTCCTTTGTAATCCATTTGCAGTTACTGGTCTGTTTCACAAATTTATTGAAATTTCAATGTATTTATATTATCAGTATCTTTGGTGTATTAATTCTTCAATATTGACTATATTAAGGCCTCTGTCGATACAGTAGTTTCTGTACAGCAGCTGTCCGTGAAAAAAATAGATTCAATTTAGAACAAAACACTTTACTTGTGTTTCTATATATCTATTATGATAGAAGAAAGCGTAACAAAAGGTTCAACTATCTGTTTCGTTAAATCATCAGGATCCGCAAATATGATTGTAGAAGCACACTAATTTCAAGTACAAAAGCATTGAGTCAAATTCAAGATTCAACAATCTTATAAAAAAAAAGAAAAAAAAAGAATTAATATTATATATGTATATTTAATTCCCAATGAGTAGTATTGACTACCTTAAGAGGCTTAGTTTTAATGAAACAGATCTTACTGGAATATAACTGATCAAAGTTCTCACTGTGAGAGTGGAGCTGGTAAGGAAGAAAGTACCAAACTCATTATTAAAAACTTCATTATGCCAGAGTATCGAGAGGAGCTATGCTCACTGCCAGTACAAGTATGTCTGTGTATACAACACATACGAGTTTAATATTAAATATTAAATTGTATCGTCACAATTTACAATTTGAAGCCATTTGTATTTACATTTGGCATCGCTCCAGTATGGCATACGGAATGTTTTATAAATTGTGAAATAATTTAATGGTAGATTTCGCGAAATGCATCAAATAAGCGACAGCGTAATAATGTTAATAATATTAAATAAATTTAACAAAAAAATAAATTACACACGAAGTTTGAATCTGTATTTATAGCCGAATTTGATATTATCATTTTTATTGTAACATTCTGAAGTTCGCTTCGAAAATATTATAGTTCATAAAATTTTATTATAGTCTTATTATAAAAAGCGTTTTAACATTATTAAAATTAAATGTACTTTGCGTTTAAATCTACCACTAATTATCGATCTGTGGTTTATAAAACAGCTTGAGTATACACTGAGCCATGTTTATATTAATAAGTAATGTAATATTTATATAGGAGCTCATGTATATTACACCTTTTCCTTTTCTTCTTCTTTTTTTTTTTACGAGAATGATTCGACACGTGGCCTATTCCTACTTTTTAAGACGTTGAAACTTTTTGTTGTGTGCGAATTATATTCTCATTTATTATATAAATCACGCATGACATGAATTTTATGTGCAATTGTATATTTAAGTTTTCTGGGGCGATTCGATTAGCGCTTCCCTTTCTTCATTGTTTTATTAACTCTCAGTAAACATGTTTTTAACTAAGAAAATACTCGAGTGTATTGTTAGAAATTTTAATGATTGTTATTATTGTTGATTTCGAAGCGCTTGAAATTAGCTTACCATAAAAATTCGTTTTTCATTAAGTCATCGAGCATAGGCCACGTGAGAGTATATGGAGAAAGAAAATGGATGCGAATTGTTAAGTATTGCGATAATGATAAGAAATAGATTGAAATGTGCAGAGACAGCTCTAGTGTAATATTATGATTATCTGTTATTACTTATTATTTTTAAGATATACAAATACATGCCAAATGGGATGTGTTTTATCCCATTATCTCGAGCGTGTGGAACTGATTACACATAAAGAAAAAGAAAGAAAAGAGTTTTGTAGAGATTCATTTATACAAGATACTTTCAATAAGAACAGAAGAGTACATTTGTATAAGAGTCCAAAAGGAACGAATGTATTTTTTCGTTTCTCGCGCCCTCATTGATCGATCAATAAAGTAGAAAACGTATAATAATAAAATATCAGTGTTCATTACGAATTAACAAAGATAGAAACAATGACAGAGAGATCAGCGCGCGTGAAACTGAAAAATAAATATCCTTTCAAAAATTACTCGCTGCAATAATTTTAATTGCAATTAATTTTAAGTCGAGGCATCATCCTTCGTTATTTTTTGCATCGACAAGAATTTCCAGAGGTCAGAAATTTTCCGATAACTGATAGGCACTAATAATTGTATTTTCTTGTTTTACTCCGCCAAAGTGCGTACGAATAATTTCATAGTCAGCCTTCGACAGGAAATATATTTATTTATTTAATATATGTAGCTATATCTATATATTATTTATATATGTATTTTTTTGCCGTATGTCGGAACAAACTTTCGTGTATTCACTGCATTAAAATATATTCTATCGTAAATGTTGTTTTTGGAATTTTACGTTTAATTTTAAATAATAAGCTTACACAAAACATGGTTTTATCATGTGTACACCTCATGAATCTATTCGCCAATGTTTTGGTACTTTTACTACAAACACAATACATATATCTTTACCTCGATTTGAATTTGACACGCCAGGCATTCGGAAAGTAACGTTTTACATTTCTCGTTATATTTCGCAGACAATACAGTATAACTATATTAAAGTTAGAATTATGCAGTTTTTAACGAGACACGTGATGCTTTTGCTAATGTCTTTATAATTATCGATTAAAGTAATTGATCTTGGTTGCATTTCTAAAATTCTTGTTTTCAATAATCCAATAAAAAAAGAAGGGATTAATATTTGATAATTCCACTTGTACATATATTCGTATGTTTACTTTCTTTGTGCAACATTAAATTACAGAATAAACGCTAATTTAGCGTCAACTGCCTGCCATTAATTAGTATATACAAAAATATATAGATATGCATTATACATACGTATGTACAATTTGTCTGGTTTATTGAACTCATAACGTTCGAATGCCAAAAAATATGAATGATATGAAACAATGTTTCAGGTAAAAATTATATGATATCGAGGGAGACATAGTATGTCCTTTGCCTATTTGACCTTGCGATGACATCGAAACGTCCTATGAAGATCGTAATAAAATTTTTAAATGGGAACCTACTTTTTTATAACGTATTCTTGTAGCTGTCATTTAGATGTTCCCGAGACACTACACTACTAACTAGTGTCTTTCGCATTATGCAAATTGCCGTAGTAAATACAGTATATACTGGGTGTCTCGTTTTAATCGTTTGTCGTGATTATCTCTTAAACTGTTTGTTATTCCAAACTATTTTTATGCTTCAGGCGTGATTTATTTTGTTTCAAGAGATATTCTAAGGCGAATTCATTAATCTAGAATATATGGATTTTTATGATTATCTGGTGGTACCTTATGAAATTTTGTAAGAGATAAAGTTTATTTTAAAAAAACTACTATATCTACGATAATATGAATTACCATAAGAATTTTCCAAGAAATTAATTATATTATAAATATCAATAATAAATAATAACACAAAAAATTGAAAAATTAAATTGAGACACCCTATATATGAGATGTTCCATAAATTTTATTATATGTACAGATTTAGTAAATTTATTGAATAAGTATGCATTATATATTGATACGTTAGATATATCGAGTTGTATGATTTTTTTATTATACCTTTTATACATACATATACATACATATACATATATACATACAACAAATCTTATAAATATTCGCCCTTTTAAAATATTTCTTGACAGGAAATATAGTTGCTTTTAGCCTTGTGTATTTATTTAATGTTAAATTAAACAGGCATCATTAACGTTCAATTAAATTAATTGATTAACAGCAAAAATATTAAATTAGTAAATTAGTTGGCACTAAGTGTTACAAGCTTCTTAATGTATTAATATAATTAATCTATATATTTTCGTTATTGAATTATACAAATACATTTTCAAAACTATTTTTGGTTTATTTATTAAGAGATTATTACGATGTAGTACATCTTGCATATAAAAATACATATAAAATTTATATTGTTTCACTTTGGAGGAATACGACCGGTGAACACTGCTTTCATCCCTCAAAGTAACATAGTTTAAATTTAACTCTAGTTCCTTGGATCTTTCGAGCCACAAACTACTCAATTGTTTGAGGCTGCTGCAAACGATTCACGCTACTCGATTTTTTCGAGCTGTTCGGTTCTTTCAGGTATCTATTCAAATCGAATCGGCAACCGATTTAATCTCGGCTCGGTTTGACTTTCGGGCAGTTCGAATATTCGTGCACTACTTTAGAAACTAACTACTAAGTAATACTCCTTGTTCAACCTAGTCTGATCGATTCTAAGTTGTCTTGATCAATCTTCACTCGATAATGAATTTTGCAGTGGATGCGATCTATCCCCAGATCTTGGATTAAAATTTTCAAAAATAATAGTTTTTGGAATCCCAAAGTATTCTATCGCTCGCACATACAATACAAACGACAGTTTTTATTAATTGCAATTCGCATACGTACCACATTCTAGAGTATTCTAAAATTCTATCCAAGTACTCTATCACTTTCTAATTTTCCACTGAAGTCTAAATAGCTCTTTAATCTGTGTATTACTCATAGATTCATTGCTATAAAGTCTCGCAGTAAGAAGATGAAAAAGAAATATAGATAGGAAATCATGTGAAGGAACAGAAGGGTGTTTGGAACATTTATTATATAGCTGTAGGGTAATCGATAGGGAAATTTGGAAAGAGATTAGATTAGGAAGTATATTATACAGCTCAGGAGATGTTAAGGGAATAAAATGAATAAGAGAAATAGAAAGACTGAGAAAACAAGTAGATAACAGATATATAAAACTCGAGTCAGGAAGGACTACACGTTGGAATGTAACAAAGTGCAATATAATGCAATAGAGAAATCCCTACAACAAGGATAAAAACCAAAGGAAATGAAACGATCCCTAAATACAGTGAAGTAAGAGTAAGCAGTATTAAATAGTATTAATTAGCAATAAGAATAACCAAACCAAAAAATCTAGAACGGATCGTAGGTTGGAGAAATGTGATATGAATGAGATAAGGAGTAATGTAGCCAAGCCTATTTCAAGGCCGATTAATAGGTCTACGTAACCCTCGGCTGGTGGACGCTTCTTGCATTGTATGCAAGGTCTAATCTATATTTAGTCAATGCTCATACATACGTATGTATGTATAAAGAATTTTGAATCGTATCTAGAATATTCGTATTTACCTCTATCTGTCTCAATCGAATATAGTATATGTTTATTGTTATTTATTGTAGTCTTTACAAAACTTATTTGAAAGATATAGACAAGAAATCAAATACTCTGAATACCTATAAAATTTTGACTTTCGCCATTCTTCCTATATATATTCGTAACTATAATAATTGCTAGATAGGAAACTAAATGTAAATTACTGCACACTACAATTTGCTTAAATCCTATTTTCACATAACGTAAACGCTGCACTGGAGAAAGCGGATTTACGAACGATATCCTAGTCAACTTACGTGGCGATAAAGTTTTTAACCGAATATACCGAATGTGCCGGCGTTCCGGTTTCACAGGTCTATCTGTTACGATGTGAAACGTTCGTGTTCAATGGAGTAAGGTGGTACGACCGATTGTTAGAGGCGTCATTGGAAACGTCGTTTTAATTGTAGTACGGTATTTATGTGTCAATAAAATTCTGAAAAAACGATACATACTTGGTAAACTTCTAGCCAGCGAACGAAATACATTTATAGAGTAAGTGATTTCTCTGAATCTTCAGATTGTGCAACATCCGCGCGTTTCTCGGGTAACCACAAATTAGATTTTGATGCTCTTCCAATAGTTTTGAATAAATATTTATCGAAAGCTGTTATCTGAGTCAATTCTTTTTGTTTACGTAATACATAGGGCTAGTGGTTATTTATTATGAACATTAACCTCTTCTGACTGCGTGGTTTTAAGTATTTGTCATCATGTACCAATAGTTTATTCAAACATTAATAAAATTCTTTGATTAATCATTCGGTTGTTATATACTATATGATTTAATGCTTTGTTTTAACATTTTGGTTTTCTTAATTTCAGATATTGTGCATGTTTCTCTCTAAAATTACTTTTCTGTGAATATTAATAAACTTGGTTACGTTAGAAAACAAGTAGTTGTGAAATAAAAATATTATTGAATATTATAGTTTTTATTTTATATAATCTTACTGGAAGTAGATTGTTATTTTATGCTTTATCCGTTTTATTATTTGAAGTTTTAGTGTTTTAATATATATTGTTTTTATTTTATATTTTTACATTACGTATGTAAATATCGAAGTAAAAATATAATTATCAGATAGTAGAAATATATCTGAAAAAAGAATTATTCAATGGTGAAACAAACATCGATTACTAAAAGATATAATTAATTTACTTTTAATACATGAATAGAATATCCAGATGCGATCTTAGTATGAAACAAACATTTTCATTGAATGCCAATGTATGTCAAAATTTTTTATATATTAAAGTACTTTAGAAAAGTCTTTATATGTTCAAAATATAGGGTAGATATAATAAATTTACTACATTTGATTATATAGTTGCCTTGGAAAGTAAGTTAATGTTGCTGCTAAAAGTATAAATGTAAGAGCATTGACTTACTTTCAGAGACGACTATGTAATATTAACATAAACATGTCATACACAATATCTAGAATACATTTAATTATTGTTTATAAATTGAAAAGTATATTGACATTGGAAAATGAAAAAAGCGTATTATGAATAAATTCTGAATACATAATAGGTTTTAGAAAATAATTTAAAATATATTTTTTATGAGTTAGAAATATTTATTTATTAATAATATAGAAATTCATATTGTGTGTGTCAAAAATTTTTACTATTTTATCATTGTTCTATTAAATTTTTATGTTGTTTCTAAAATTCTAGATGAGCATTCTCAACATAAATAACATTTTATTTGTAATAAATATATTTTAACATTAAACATTACTGTACTGATATGTCAATTATAGATACACATCTGTAACATACAATTCTAAACTAGAGCTTTTAAAAATTTTGTTTTTCATATTTTAGATATGAGACGCAAAAGTGAAAGAAACAAAGCAAAAGCAGGGTCTCCAGAGAAAGAGGTTGAACGAGTAACACGAAAATCAACTCGAAAATGTGCGAAACAAGCATCTTCAACATCCTTAGAGCAAGAGAATGTTGAGGAAACAACAAAAAGTTTGAGCAATAAAATCACGGAAAAGAAGTCAGCACATATACAGAAAAAGGAAGTGGAACAATTAGAAGAACAAAATGAAAAAGTTTTGTCTATTGAGGCAGATGTTAAGACCAGATCGCAAGAAGATGAAGAAGACAACAATTCTGGATCAATCTGGAAAGTGTCAAGATCCGATGCATCACCTGGCGAGATACAGAGATTAAAATTATCTAGACAGCATAATACAACAGAAGGGTTATCTGATACTTCTTTAAATAGGAAAAAATCGAACAAGTGGCAGGAAAGTGGTGAGGGAGTTGCAGAGGAGGTTGACTCGGCAGACAAGCAACTGGTTTCTTCTACAAGAGTACCCAGTAGCACTGAACAGCCGAACGATCCCTCCTCTTCATACCCAGGTCAGGACTCCAACGAAGAGGTAAGTGATAGCAAGGAGATCCTGCCTGAAACCACTTCAGCCAACTTGTCTGACGATAAACCAAACATAGATCAGCAAGGTGAATCAAATGAGGCAAATTACTCCAACGAAAACGCTGATAGTAAACCCATTAAGTCGACTAGTACAACTATATTGGCTCCTAGTTCAAATGGTAATCATTCATCCGAGGAGACAAACATTATGCCCAAGGAAGAAAAATCTGTGGAAGATACTAGTGAAAAGACAGTGGAAGCATTTAATAAAGAAACTAGTGTTGAAAACACTCAAAGAGATTCAAGCAGTGACGAGGAAGAAGATAAAAAGGAAAAAGTTCGTGAGCTAAATTCATCATCCGAATCAAATGATGAAATTCATACTAAAAGTAATAGAACTGGTGGCAGGATACAAAGTGCCAGTCGCAGAAAACATCGAACTAAATATCGAGATTCATCTAATTCTGATACACCAGATTCTGAGGATGAACCTTCTATTAAAAGAGATCTTGAAATTGATGTATGTATGCAAGAAGAGAAAATAAGTACAGAGGATTCCCACGAACAGAAAGATCATACTGAGTCACCAAAAGCAAGGAATAATTTTTTATTAAATAACATGGAAATGGAAATAGAACATTGTGAAGCAAATAAACAAAAGTTAGACAATCTAGTTGATAAATCAGAATATACTGCATCAGTAACAACTCAGTTGGTGACTTACAAACCCGTGAAAGTAAATTTAAAAAGATCATTGTAAGTATAAATTAGCGAGTCTTCCAAATTCTTATCATTAATATCTTGCTATATCGTTTTATAAATTTTGTTTCAGTTCTTCGAGAATGTTAACAGAAAAGAATGATGTTAAAAAAGAAGATACTGATGCAAATGCAAATAATGAAGCAAGTGCTCCAAATAAGGTTCATTGTTATACTTTCTTTCTAAATAAATGAATCATTTATCAAATAATTGTAATGTAGCTTAGTCATAACCAGTATATATCAAATATTTATGGTATTATAATAGTTATTATATAAGATCATTAAATATCACAATTATATGTTTTTTATAGGAAAATCACGACAACACCGAACCAGATTCCAAATGTGTTCCGAGAAAGCGTCGATGGGGTACTGCATTATCTACTGACACCGCACCTTCGTTTTCAATTTCTACGGATTCACTTAAAGTAATATTTCTATTTTTAACGTCTGACATTTTGTAAATTTTAGAAAGAAATATCTATAATGTTTTATGATCTTAAAAGTAAATAAAAAGAATACAATTAAATGTAAATATTTGCATATCTAATATTAATATCATAGTATAAATATTAATATTAATGTCATACATTATACTTGTAAAGTTTTCTAAATTTGTGTGTACTTATATACATTTGTATTTGTGTAATAGGCGTTGGTGCCAGGAGCAAGACCATTGTCGATAAATGAGGTTCGTCTTTCAAAAGATGACGATGAAGACAGAGATCGTTATCGAGTTAGCGAAAAGTGGCACAATTCTAATGAAGGAATAAATGATAATAAGTCTGGTGACGAAAATATCATGCAAAAGAATGGTGCAACAAAAAAGGGAGACCCAAAGATAGATAATCATATAGGTATGTGAACACTTTCAAAGGGTCTTATGTGAGTTATTTTAATTTCTATAAACATGGTATCATTTATATCAAAATAAAAAAAAATAAGTGAATATTTCCTAAAATCACACCATTTAAATGTATGAGATTTAAAATAACTATTTAAAAAAATATTTAATATATTGATTTAAATGCAGTAAGGAATATATTAAAAAATATTCTTGATTCTTAACTATCACTATTATAAAAATTAATCTGATATATATATATTTGTTTGTTAAAATTTTTTTTGTTTGAAGATATTTGGATAGAGATTTTAAAATTTGTTGTACTAATGAAATAGAAGTTTACTTCTCTGAGAAACAATAGGTCTGTAATTAAGAGCTATATTTGTAATTGGAGGTATAATTGTAAGGATATGTTTGTGAACGATCAATCTTTTTTGCTTTTTTTTCCTTTTTTTTGAGTAGAATGTGACGAATATGAAATATTTTATGTATTTATTAGTTAAATTGTGGTTTGTAGCAGCAAGGCGTAAGATATCGATTGTTAAAGAAGTGCCACATGTCAAATCTCCAAGTCCACCTGCTACGAAGCCCACAAATATCCTTCTGATCAAAAACTTGGTTCGTCCGTTTACTTTGAATCAAATTAAAGAACTTCTGTCGCGTACTGGCACAATTGTCGAAAATGGATTTTGGATGGATCGAATTAAATCCAAGTGTTTTGTAGAGGTATGTCAAAATAATTTTTAAAAATGCTCATTTAATTTTGATATGTATCAGTCCTCTGATTTATGCAAAGTGTTTGTTCCATGTACGTCTTTTTTACGTAAATCATGCGTAATTAATTTAATCATAAAGATCTCGTAAATGAAGGCTGCCAATGTGAAAAGAATACTATAGAGAAAAGTCAATATAAGTTATAAAAATATTTATTCCACATAGATGGAAAAAGGGAAGTTATAAAATTCTATATAAAACAAAATAAATATTATTCGCTGTAGCTGCTGATATCATACTTTAAAATAAACAACTTTTTCTTTTTAATTAACTTAAAGTTATTATCTTCATCTCTTGAGTTATTTTCTGCTTCAGTTTCATTATTAATGTTTCGATCCTTTGGCATCCGAGTTTTGAAAATCTCTAGATAAGCACTCATTCTTTTCCTTTGTTGACAACACAGTAAATTTAATAAAGATTATAGAAGAATATATTTTCTACGTAAATTGACGGACGGGTGCAATACTGTAATATTATTTTGAATTACTAGAAGATATATTCTACATATTATACTAAGGTAGTAAAAAATAAATAATATTAAATTAAAAATGATTAGTAATGTAAAGATTGTTTTTTATATCGTGTAATATCTGTTATCTTTTAAATATTTTTATATAAGTAACGAATATAATAGAAAAAGACAAACGAAAAATTATTAATATATTAATATAAAAACGTTTATTATTTGATATTTGGAGATTCATTTTCTTTTATCAATATTAAAATGCTGTCATATAAACATATAGAGTTTATAATGACAATAATCTTTAATAAAGGCTTTTGTATATATTTTATTGCATTGATTTGTTATTTCATATCGCAATATTATTAAATTTATTTATTTATATTATTTACATTATGTTAAGGTATCTTCTTCTTATGTTCTTTCTATTTTCTTCTTTTCTTTTTATTGTTCTTTTTATATTTCAATATTGATAACTTTTGAATTTATTGTAAACACAGTGTCATAGATGATAGTATTAATTGAATTGTTTTAGTATGCTAACGAAGACCAGGCATTTGAGACGAGGCAAGCGTTACATGGTATATCCTGGCCAGTTTCAAACCCAAAGAGGCTTCATGTTGAATATGCAACCAAAGATGACATGGAATTAGCACGCGAATTGTCAAAGGATCAGTCCATCCCAAGAAAAACTGAACCTCTCGTACCGTCTGATTCATGGCAGCAGGATTGGAATCGCGAAGAAAGAACGAATACAAAGGTATATCAATTTTATCATATTTTACAATTCGTACACAGAAAGAGCTTTAAGGAAAAGTATAAAATGTGATAAATAATGATAAAGAATGTGTATTATAAAATTTATTATTATTTGTAACTATGTTCACTTTCTTTTATAAAATAAAATTTAGATTAAAAAGTAAAAAGTATAAACAAATATTTTGAATTTGATAATATAATTGTCTACTTGAATTTTATATTGAAATGTAATTATCAATCCAAAGAATTGATCAAAATCATTATCACTGATTTTATGAAAGTTTCTTTTCATTAACTTTTGGAAATACTATCTCTTTAAATATATTCTAACATATATTTAAAAATAAATTATATTTGATTGCTCAATTGCTATGGTGAAATAGAAATACATATATTAATTTCTCTTATGGGATCCTGATGTATTTGAATGAAAATTGAAATTTCAACTTATAACTTATAATTATTAACCTAATTGAAGATTAGTGAAATCTTAATTATATATTGTTTTAGAGCAGAATTATGACAATGTTTATAATATCTGAGATAGTTCAGAACACCAGAATAGCGTTTAAGGGCTAAATAAAAATGAATAGATTATGATTTATTAAATAAAAGATTGCACTTATGCAATAACTAAAGAAGAGTTTTGTAAACAATAGGTGATGGTAGTTCGAGAATGGGATCTTGGTAAAGAAGATGGACAACAGCATATAAAAGAAAAAGAACGTGAAAAGAAAGAACATGATAAAAAAAGACGACAGAGGAGTCGGAGTCCAGCAGTGGAAGCACATCTTCCAGCTCCAGCTCGTAAATTTAAAAAGAAAGAGGATGAGCCACCACCGGCTAAGCTTTTAGATGATCTCTTTAGAAAAACGAAAGCAACGCCATGCATATACTGGTTACCACTCACAAATGAACAGGTACATTATAGATAAAGTACAATCTAAGTACTTATATTTTATGACAAAACTAAATACTACATTTATAAATATGATACTTATGAAGTAGAAAAACAAATGATGATTTTTTAAATTGTATTCATTTATATAAATAATTTAATACAATATTTAAAATATACGGAATGAAGTTCTCATTCTAGTATCTAACCTCGATTTAGCCTCATTTCTTCATAAAACTATGAATTTGCATGTGTGATCTAATTATTACTACTCATAGGGATAATCATAGATATGTTTTAATTACAGATAGTCGTAAAAGAAGAAATGAGAAGGCAACATATGGCAGAACATGCACGCAGATTAGAAGAGATGAGACGCGCTGAAAGAAACAACAGGGACGGTCGTCGCCGTCGCAGCCCAAGAAAATAGTTCTCTGATCGACCACTTTCTATAAACGTACCTTTCCCTCTCTGATGCAAAAGTTCCAATTTTGATCAGTTATATTTTTAAGAAAGATGTTATAGATCACGAAAAGACGAACGAATTTTTCCTTTTTACATTAGAGAGAGACTTGCCGAAGATGCTTTTTAAAAATTTTCCTTTATCAATTGTTCCACAATTAGCAGCCCGTTTTTATGATTAATGATTTAACAATGTCATGTTAGAGTTTGTGTTTTTTGTTCTTCCACACTTTTTTCTTTTTTTTTTTAAATTTAGAAAACTTCTGTTTCACGTGAGAACGTAATTTGTATTATTCCTTTTCTCTTGTTCTGATACCAATCTCGCGTATTTATTTCTCTGTTTGATTTCAATTTGTTCAATCGTTAATTTTCATTCATTGGTCAGAAACTGTACAAATTTGTTGCATGATCAAGAAACGTCCCGATCTCCGATCCATTCTCCCCGAAATTTCAGCATTAAACCATACTTCTTACAGGTCGACATTAACTATTCAACAGAGCGCTGTAACTGTAGAACGAACGGTAGTGTTTGCATCGTCTAGGAGTGATACATCACGTTCTACGATACGTCGTAGTGCGATATCGCAAAACGTGCCCTGGGGAATCGAAGGATAATCAAACGAAAAAACTATCTACATAGAGAAAAAACGCTCGGAACGAATTTAGCATTCGTGATCGTTGAAAAACGCTATTTGTTTTCTTACGAGAAAATAAAAAACGAAACGAAACAAAAAAAAATTAATGCTGGGGCGAGATGCTGAAAGCAGCAGCGAACAAAAAAGTCCAAAATAAGGATGCTGAGAGACTGTGATTCATTAATATGAAGTCGTCCTAAAGCGTCAATGGGAGTGTTTTTCTCTCCCCTGAATCTATCTCTCTTTTCGTCTCTGTCGGTAGAATAGCCTGACTTCCTTGAATTTTGACATGTACTGCCACATAGATAGTGGTAGTAAAATGTAAAGTTTTGGTGTTTCTCGTTTTCGCGCAATGAATTTGCACAGCCAGAAACACGTTTGTATATAAAGCATAATTCAATACGCCGTGATATGACATGTAAAATTATGAATAAATGTAAAACATTGTAGGTTATATACGAAAAGTATATCTACCGCTTACTTTGTACAATGTCATACCATATTTAGAAGATTTGTTATTCACCCTTGAAATAAGATCGAAAGATTTACGAAGAAGAAGCGAAAGAAAAAAAATACATACATTTTAGAACGAAAAATGAATTGTTCGTTATATTTATTTCATCGTTATAATATATATTTTTTGTCTGATTCGAACAAAAAATGTAATTGAAAAGGAAACCAACGAGGAAAAACAATATTATTAATAAAAAATAACTCGAACATGGCGATAAATGTTTGAAATGTTTGCAACAGGAAAAACAAATGTTTACGTAAACTTATTCGATCTTTATTTATATTAAAATCGTTAACGCTAACGTTGTAATTGCTTCAATTTACAAAAATCGTGAATTACAGAATGTGCATGTCAGCTATTAATTAAAATATTTCACAATCACAAATACTATGAATAGAAAGAATAAAAGAAAACTGGAATTTCAAGTTTGGTGTGTAACTTAACTACTAATTTATACACTGTATATCTTTCCTCCAATTAAACTAATTTTAATGACGTGTTGCGTCCAAAAATATTTTTTTATACATTAAGGAAAAGAACGTAGTTATGCAATAATGTATATTCTTAAATATCCTTATTCTTTTTAAATTATCATGTGAAAAAATCAGAAATTGAAACAATTATGAGAAACTAACATTATATTTGTCTTGATTATGATTTGAAATTAATTTTTAGATCTCTTTCTAAATTTTTTTATAAAATTGTGGATGGAAATTTAATATGTAGTTATTTATAATTTTAAAAGTATTTATTATCATAAATGTCTCTTCTGAATCAGCTTTCCAAGAATCAAAAGAAGGAAACTTTCTTTTTATATATATTTTGTTCCTTTTTTATATAATATTTGAATTATTTAAACCGGAACAACATTATAATAAAGAACTATAATCAAAATGTTTGATAGAATAGTTATATGAATCCGGCTAGAATCGATATTTTCACTAAATTTGGCTTTCTATAATTGTTCTTTGAAATTTGAAATTATTTCGAGCACCTGAATCGATTATATGACAGTTTCTAACGCCTGAAAAGAATATCTTTTTTAGGGCCTATAAATAATATTTTGCCTAAAATTTTGTATTTCACAATACACTTAAACTTTTAACGAAATTCATCCTTTGTGGTCGTATTTATACGTGTGTATGTATTACAAGTAAATTAACTTAATATACATACATATTTCTTCCTTTGCTTATATCGCAAAAAGATTAAATTACTTTTACGCAACCATTTATAAATTTTATAATATATTCAACTTAAAGAGTTAAGCTGTGTAATACAGAATGCAAAGGACTCGATCTTACAAACATGATAAAAAATGTGTGTACACATTACAATTCAAATTTATAGTCCAGAGAATTCGAGAGACTACTTGACGATTACAAGACAAAAGTCTTTTCTTATTTACATTGTTGATTAATATCTTTAGTTTATCAGCTTATTATTGTAAACAAATGTATCTAATAATTATACATTACATCTGGATTGCACAATTCATTTGTAAAATGTATACACGTATCTTTATAGCTTTGATACACTTATCTCGTTATCAAAAGAATGCATACTGACAAGTACGCTAAAGACTCTATAACGGTTCATTCTGAGATAGCGAGTAGTAAATAGAAATTAAAATAAGATTTGTCGTTGCTTTGGTATCGTCTCACGAAGGCGATGTTGAATATAATAGATATGTATCTTAAATGCAATTAAATCTTGAATAAAACATAGAGTTAAAGTGCAATCCTTTACAAACAATTATAGAGTCTTTACTGTAGTTAACAATAAACACATCAATGTTATGCTGATAAATTTCGAACATTTTGTCTCCTGGTTTTCAGGTAGCAGGTTAAATTAATGACCTGATTTGTAACCCTTTTTATGCGCATGTTTCAAGAAGCAAGAAAATGTATAAAAACAATTTTGGCAAATATACTTCTTTGGAAATCTTGCAAAATAAAACAAACGCTTCTTATGACTATTATCATTATCAAACAGTATTTTTTGTACTAATTTGTAATATTATTGTTATACTTTATTTATTATTAATAACATAAATAATAAGTAATATCTGAAATATTTAATTGCATGAAATATCTATAATTGAGACAATAAATAAATTGAAATTAGAACACTTGCACATAAAAAGGAGTTGATGCTAACACTTGCGCATAAAAAGGACTTGATGCTTGTACGTTAACACCGTCTTTTTCGAAACTGATATCAATTATCATTCATTTCTATGACTATTTTATTCGTACCACATTCAGTTTATTTCGATAAGTATCATTTGATACATTAGTCGACTTTTACGACACTGTAGATCTTTCGCACGAACCAGAAACAGGCAAAGAAGCCAATTGATCCTATTTAATACATAAAATATGCAATAATTTTTTATTTAAAAATATTAACATTTTATTACTGTAGAAGAAATAAATACTTTACCTGTTAAAACGAAGAATAAGTAAACCATAATACAAGTATAACCAAAGTAAAGGAACGTAGATGTAGCATCTTCTATTTCCAACTTAGTCATGAAAAAATGTATGCAATAGATTAATAAATAGAACGCGGTAAATCCAGATGTTAGGAAACTACGCCACCACCAATGATAATCCTAAAACAAAAAAGATAATTCGAATATATGTATCTTGAGGAATGTTTTATTTATTTTATTAATAAAAGGCCATTCATTTACTTCCGCACAAAGATGGAAATAGCAAAGTAAAATCGTCGTTTCTGAACATGTAATTACGAGTATAACAAATACCAAAAAGAGAAATCCAAACATGTAATACACCTGACTTGACCTGAAACAGATTAATTAAAGTTTAAATATTTTGTATATTAAAAAATAAAAACTTTCCTATTTATAAATACAATATTAGACTTAGTAGTAAGTGGAAGTAATTAGAATAAATAAAGCTGATCAGTGGAATTAATGATGCTTATAACTTATATTATCTATGTTATTAAAGCTACTAGGTTTTTAAAATGTGATATTTACCATAAAGAATTAAGTATAAAGAATAATTGTATAAATATACATCCGAAAGGTAGAACTCCACCCATTATTACACCAGGTATTGGTTGAGTATAAAAACTTTGTTCTGGTATTTGTCTAGGAATCTGATTGGTTCTAACAGGATGCTCCAAAGACTAAAATAAAATTCGTTACTAATGAATTTCTTCTTTGAAATCTTATGTTTTGTCAATAGAATTTCTACAGAACAACGCTACTGCTTCTATATATATAAAAGAACATTCTACACTATTTTTGTTGGTAAAAGAAGTCTTTACCCTTTTCCGGAATCCGAAATAAGCACCAATAAATGTTAATGGAAGAGATACTCCAAACCAAAGTGCTAGAAGAGCAATAAGGGTGCTGAATGGTACTGCAGCTGAACTTTCATTTGCCCAAAAAATTAAATTCATTATAAAGAATAAACTGAATACAATTCTGTAAATAAAAATACATTTTTATAAAATTCGTCTTCATACTCACGATATTTTACATATAAAGTAAATATGTATTTACATAAATTATTAAAAAGACCATAGCCAAAGGATGAACTGTTATTAACTTTGATTTTCAGATTGTATAGCTTTATAGACTAGTTGTATTTATCACACACATGTGCATATATATTTATTAAATAAATCTTATTACCCAGGACTCAACATAGATGTAAGTACAACGTTCGATTTCCATTTTTCACCACCGAAGCTTTTATATATTCTAGCAGATACGTAACCAGCAGTAGCTCCGAGGCAAACATATAAAACCATGGCACAAGTCATTAAAGCTCCTCTGTTTGCTGGAGATAAAAATCCTAAACACGCAAATGCTGTGGAATGCAAAATGAAACTTTATATTTTTTTTGTTTATACATCAAGTAAATACACTTATGCATGTAGATTTAGAAACTTACCAAGTGTTACAAGTGTCATATAAAACACTTGAACACCAGACCCGAGTAAAACTGATAATAACATTCCTTTGCGAGGAGGTCGAAATACATCACCATGAACTAATTTCCAGCCAAATTCTTCATGTGCGTCTTCTCCTGATTCTATCTGGAAGGAAGCCTGCGTTATTGAAACACAGACAAGGGAACATCACAGCTTTATGATATAAAACAAAACCAAACATCGTGTCATACGTTCTTGTTAATTAATTAATGTTAATTAATGAAATATTATAACACTGTCATATTAGTAACTTCAAAGAGAATGAGATGATTTGAATAATATGTAAATAAATAAAAATGAAATACATATTAAATTTATCGATTAAAACAGAATGAAACTTTCTAATTCAAGTAAAATGAAACAGAAGTTAACAAATAGCATTTCATTAGTGTACCTGATTGTATCTCGCAATATCTTTGTGTAATGTTCGGAGCAATATCATGGCCACCATTCCAGAAAGGAACAAAACAATTATTAATGAATTAAGAATACTAAACCACTGGATATTTGTATGTGGCATAGATTCTAAGATATAATCCCATCTAGATGACCATTTGATTGTACTGTTTTCCTAAAATAAAAAATATAATCGTATTTTTTGTTTAAAAACTATACTATCAACGTATAGATTGCGCTTAATTTGTTATTGTAAATGCTTACAATATACGTCACAGAGTATGTGTAAGTAATATCTAAGTTTTTCCCAACAGAAAGTGGACTGTGTGGTATATCTAATGCTTCTTTGTGCTCACAGTTAACAACAGTACCATGTTTAATACTACGAGGAACCACTTTAACAGCTATTAAAGAAAATAAACATAAATTTCGTTAAAAATTAGCATTGCAAGTTTAACAGCATACAAATGAAATTTCAGTCCTTACATATTATACGTCCTCCATTTTCCTTAAATGCAGATCCCCATTCTTCTTTAACACCGCTATGATACGTGATCGTAAGGTCTACATGATTATAAAGGTAATAACTGTTTTCTCTTTTGTTATATGCATCCTAATAAAGAACAAATTGATTAATTTCACTTAGCGCGTATTTTCTGTAAGTTTAAGGAATTTTTCAATCTACTATTAATGAACTTTCGGTTTTTGATTCAGAAATAATAATATTTTAAATTTACATTAACAGTACAGTCCTGTTGAGATCTTGAATCTCGCAAGAAGCATCCCATAGGAAATCCAGTACTACAATATTGTCTTTCATCCTCTAACTGATAACACCACGTAACAGGCATATTATCTATAAGAAAAAAAAAGAAAAAAAGAGAAGGAACTTATTAACATGGTGATATGAACAATAATAAAGGTTTTCCAGATTCAACTTGTTTTATCACTAAGATATTACCAACTATCCAATGATGCTGATATTTAAATGCCATTCCTTTCCTCAAAAATTCCAATTTCTTTTCTGAATCTTTATTTCCACCTTGATATGATCTTTTACACACAACGTCACAATTAACATTTTTCATGAACTCTAGCTGAAAATTTACATAATTTATATCTTTTATTATACATATGTATATTATACATAAGCTAGGGAGCCAACTTTTTATATCATAAAATTTTTGTAACATTTTTATGTTACTCATTTGCATTGATGTTACTACATACAAATTGTATTTGACTCATAGATGCAGAAAGAACAGTTTTCGTATGTAGAAAACATTTAAACTTGTTTTTCTCTAAAGTTGTTACTTTTGAATTATGTCACTATTCTAGCAAATGAACAATATATTAAATCACTGTTCCAAAGAAAAATGGAAGATAGAAAATAACCATTGTCATAATTTTTCAGGGATTTCCAATAGTCTGACAAAAAAATGTTTCCGATGAGAGTTAATTACTTTTCAATTTGCTATAAATTGTAACTTAAAAAATTTCCAAACAGTTCTTTTTACAATAAAGAATCAAGGTCATATTGAATTTTTAATACGACACTCTATTTTTAACTTTACAATGTTATAGCTGATCTTAAGATGAATTCAACAATTCCCTATAGCATGACATAATATTTTGTGGACAGATTATGTGCATACAAGCTGTATACACAGTTTAAAAAAAATTTTAAATAATGTGTACAAGCTTAGATAGATGAAGATATGATAGAATGAAGATTTTATGATATAAAATATAGGTCCACATTAATCAATTAAGTATTCGCTAAATGTTGATGTTATCCACATATCGACATAATCCGAAAATATTAATTATAAGCAGTATAACAGGTAGGAATTCTCATGTTGTGTCCTTTGAGATAAATTAAAATACAACGAACGTTATGATCTCAAACACCCATGAAAATTAATTGTTCGAGTAGTTTCAAAACTTAAAACAGATAAGAACGATTTCGAGTATTGAAATTGAACCCCGGTAAACCATGTGAAACTTCGCGAATGTTCGATTACACAAGATAACTTTATTTTGACAAGGTGATAAAAATGCAGTGATATGTACTTAAGGGCAAAAAGTATAAAATCAATCTTAGAAATTTTTTGAAATGTAAGTCTTACTCAAAATCCCGATGAACTCAGTTTCTTGAATAGGCTCGTAAATTTCAATTCCTGCTATCCCACTGACATTCGCGTCAGTGGACACAACATTTATTTTCCACATTGAATGTGTTAAATGCATAAGATATACAAAAATAAATATAATTGAATATAACGAATGATTCGAAGGTTTCTTTTTTATCATACCTTGTAAGGAGAAGGCCTTATACGTTCTCCAAAAACAACTTGTCCTAAGTTTTCAACAGGACTCTGAGTTTCATCGGAAGGACAAAAATCAAAGCTAAAAAAAGAATTCTTGGTATAACAATTCAAACTTCTACGAGATTAAAAGATGTTATCAATTATATATGTGTTTCTTATGAAAACTTACTGATGATATTCATATGGTATTACATATTTCTCAGTGTTTAGACGATTTACATACAGTTTAATCTCGGACTGAAAGAAATAAACATTATCTAATAAAACACAATAAATTATAGATTACATACATTATATTTATGTAATACATCAATTATTACACTTACGTAATATATAATTATTATTACATTGTAATTATAAATAATTTATGATTATTATTTTTTATTACTTTTAAATGTGGGAGCTTTTGATTAAATTTTTATGAATTTTTTATAATTATGACATTTATAATGAAGTTAATAAATACAAATTCGAAAATTTAGAAGTACTTAAATTTAAAAGATACATATATAATTATTATGCTTTCAAACACAACATATTTGAACAGCTGACGTTTCGTCATAAATCGTACAAAATGTAAAGTACCTACATGTTCATGTAAGGTCGATTTACGAACATTCTAGTCAGATTGTATAAGCAATTAAATATTTTTTCAAAACCTTTCGTGCCTCAATTTCGCTATTATGAGTCATATGTCACGAAAGGCCACATCGAAACATATTTACAATTATTAAAAATTACTTCTTAATTAAAATAATACGAAAAATAAAAATTACATTAGACTGTACGATCAAAATGTAATGATTATTATAATTGACGAATATGAAGGACGTATGTTAGAGAAAAAGGAGAAAAAAAGTGATAAACTAAATATACATGATCATAACCAATTCTTAAAATAGTAAAAAATAATCTTTATACGCACTTTACACGTTTCAGAGGTTTCTCCGGCCTTGCAATAATTTACCGGTGCTAGACCCGGTAAATAAAAAGTCGATGAATGGTGAATTAGACATACAACGAACAGTAACCACAGTAAAATTATTCTCGCCATTGTGTATTGTTGTTCGTCCTTACTAACTACTTGCCTAGTGCAAGTATATGTCAATTGCTATATGAAAAACATCGGACCCTACACTACCATGATACTGTCATTGATAACGAATTGTAGATAGATTGGTTACCTCTACGCGTAGCAATCTCGCTTTTCATACTATCGAACTTCTAATTGCCAATTGCTAACTCTGATTTCGAATCATAGAAACAAATATCAATTAAAATTTATTTTTCGAGTTTTTAAACTTACTGATATTGAGAATTTATTATACAATCTGTCCCAATAGTCATGGTACAAATACCAAGGGAGTAATTATACTTAAAAACATAAATTGGAAATATCGAATAAAATTTGTTTATATAATTGGGACTAGAACTAGAAATTAGGAGAATGATCGACAGGATATCTTTATAATACGAAAACAGGGAAAATTAATTGAAGATATAGAACAAAATTTTTTCATAAGAAATTCATTGTTTTTGAGAAAATTAAATTTAAAATGTTATCAGATATAGGTATACTGAAACAGTTCTTAGCTAAACATGTTCAAACACTGTTTTCTTCAAAATGAGGACATAAACGAAAAAATGTTATTCTACATTTTTTATTTATTTTTACATATAAAAGAATCTCTTGTTAATTGTTTACTTATATCAGTTTGTACCTAGTCGGTATTAGCAAAATTCATATACGTATAGAAACAAATTTTTAAATTCGATTTTCTCAAAAAAAAAAAAAAAAGCACAGTGTGAAAACATTTTATTGCATATTTTCAATTTATTTTTCACACAGAATCACCCTCTTATTATACCATACTTTACAAGTTTATGAAAAAGACTGAAGTCAAATAACTAGAAAAAGTCTATAAATTGTATAATTACTTTTATATCAATTAATAAATTCAAATAATATATAATTAGATAAAACATTTTTTTAAGAAAAAATGAAGCTTTAGCGATTTAAAAATGCAACGTTCCAATAACCATGGCGAGTAATGAGTAATGAGTAAGGGAGTGATTCTACATGAAAAAGTTAATTGAAATTATAAAATGCAATCTTTTCATACGATGTTTGCTGTTTTTTGATAAAATCGAATTTGAAAAATTATTTAGCATATATAAATTTGGCTAATTACCGATGAGTAGATAATCAGTGAGAGGTTATTCTACATGTGAAAATAAATAAAGAGTATAGATTAAAATTCACGCGTGATACAATTTGTCTATTTAAGCCATTTAAGGTCTTGATTTAAAAAAAAATAGAGTTTGAATATTTTTATTTAAGAATGGGCCTGATACATACGTATTTGATAAATTTTAAAATTTAATTTTCTTAAAAACGAAGCGTCTTATGGCAAAATTTGATTTTATATTTAGGGCTTGTTTTTACATGCAGAATAATTTCCTGCCGTCTATTCACTCCTGTTTAGTTCAGAACTAGCTAAGTTCAAATAGACCTGATCAATTTTCGAACTGTTTTTCTGTAAATAAAACTTCATATAAAGAAATTTTATTCAACATTTTCAGCTTTTTTTTCACACAGAGCCGCCCCTTTGTCGATTTCTCCACTGTATAAATCTTGATATTGCCTTACTTTATCGTTGCTATTATTGCATAAATGGCCTAAAAAGATTTACTTTTATCAACATAATAAATCCCACACTTGGATTTTATTTTATTGAAAAAGTTAGTAAATAACATGTTTGCAATATCTTTTGACAAAACGTAAGATAATTTCATCACTGTGAAGTTATTTCATTTCATTCTTTTATAGTCATACATTTCCTATAAGTATATTACAATGTCATACATTACTTATGGAAGACTTACAAGTCGATGTTTTACTCTATAATTGTTAATGACAGGGAACGAAGATAGAAACGAATTCGTTTAAAATACAAAATGCAATTAAAATTTTTGTTCAACAATCTTTACAGAGATAATAACCATAAAAATTGTACATCTAAGTTAAAAAGTATTCAACAATTAATTTACTCACAGGCCATTAGTCGATACAGTATCATTTAATTAGACATTCACGTATTTTTTAAACAAGAGACCAGTTAATTTAAAAAGACGCGCTTGTCGTCCTTGTTATTGTACAAAATGTGAACTGATTTAAGTAATTCCTCAGGAATGTTTCCACATACAAATAATACGCAGCAGCTGATTATTTTTAATGGTTTTTGTGCTAAAGTTTTAGCATATTTTCCTTTTTTTAATCATTTTTAGTGTCATAGACTCCGTACAATATATCACATGAAAATGATAAATAATTGTTGAAATGTTCAATTACATGATAGATAAACGATACGATGTTCAGTCTCGCAAATGTTCATGATATAAATGCCGGAAAACAACCTCTTTCACTTCTTTGTTATAATTTATTCAATTCAATGTTGTTTATTTTCCGAGCAATCAGATGAATTTTTAGTCTATCTCGGACATCTAGCTCGTATTATGCAACGGTAATGCCAACCGTTTGAAGGTAGCCTCTCAGGTGGTTTGCATTAGGTTCTGGAATTTGGTCAAGAATACTAAGTAATTGTCTTGGTGACAATCTTGCTAATCCTTGTGCTAAATGTAAACGTACGTCGCCAATAGCTATTTATTAAAGAAAAATAAAATTTATTAAATCGATTAAATCTTTAACAGTTATTTATCAAAATATATTAAACGAATAATATGTAAGTATTTTATTAAAGCTAATATAATAAGATAAAAGTATTTTTGTGTTAATACCTTCCAGAGGATCTTTTGGAGGATTTTTTCCACAAAGCAGTTGACTATATCCTACTTGATACCCAGGCGTATCTTCAGTTTCTGGGAATATATTATCTTCGGATAATGTAGTCTGATCCTGTGGTAATTCGAAAAATTCTACTAACGTTGCTAATAAACGGGGATAATATGTATTATATGGCCTTTCTAGTATCATTGGGCAATCAATTAGTAAATTTGACATTCCCACAGCAGTTACTTTTCGTTCGATATCACCTGATACTTTTTGCATATCTGCTATTAATACGCGTTCTACAACCATACCAAACATTCTGCAAATATATTATTTATGTATCGTGAATATCGATTAATTTTAATCATATATTTATTTTTTAAATTTTTAATGGAAAAGAAACTTACCGAGATTGTATTTGATCAATAATTGTAACCAAATTATTTGAGCCATATCTAATAATATAGTATGCAAAAAATACGATTAGACCCTTTACAAATTTTGTCGTTTTCGAAGATGAAAGTCTTTGGAACAATAGCACAAAAATTTGTTTCATATATGGTTCTAATACATTCCTAAAAATATTATGCTATTATTAATATAGATGATAAAGTGACATAAAAATAATCTAGTGAGAAAACTTACGGTGCAAAATATTCAATAATACTTTGTAATAATAGGAAACCTTCGTGATCATTAGCCTTTGAGGCAATCAATTTTTGGAATACACCTAATAAACCATTTGTCTTATCTTGTGCTACGATATGATGTGCACCATGACTAATGAAAGCTCTTAATAATCGATTTAATGGGTGAATATTAGCTTGGCGTTCAAATAAAACGGATGATAATAGACAAGGGAACAAAGCCAAATACGCTTCTGGCATATCCTGTGTCGTTCGTAGTTCCAGAAGTAAAGCAAGGATTTGAAAAACGTATGGTAGAAATTCTGAAAAGCATCGATTAGAAAAGATAGGGAATAGAATTATGTCAAATGAAATATTTTACCTAAAACATCTTGTTGTAAGATTTCTTGAAAAATTGGGAACAGTGCTTCTTCAAATGACGATACTGCAACTTTGTGTGTTTTACAAACGATTCTAAAATTATATTACATATATATATTTTAATTTTTTTGTTTCTAATGTCTCCTCGTTTGCATTCCATTTTATTCTTATTGTATAATTTATATTACTTACTTAATTGATAAAGCAAATGTTTCGAAGAGATAATGGTTAAAATTGGGACGACTTGGATTTTTAGATACAATAGAAAGTTTTTCTGTAAGTTTTGGGAGAAGATCTGCTAAGAATGGTACAATCACCTCTTGTAGAACACCGAAGCTTCTCATGATAGCTTTCATTACATATTCGTTTTCTTCTGAGCCAGGTGTATTTAAACATGCAAATAGACCCTTTAATAAATCCGACGTCAGTGGTGATAAATCATTTGCTTTAACTCTATAAATAAAATTTGGTAATTTAGAAAATATGCACATCGAAATAATGATATTAAAATAAATCATAAGTAATATATTTAGAGCTATTTTTCATAAAAGGAAAGCAGTCTGCATGTATACTTTTTTCAATACCCTTATTTATAAAAGTCAGTAGGTTTTCATTTGACGAATGTCAATATATATTCTTGCATAAAAATTTTTATTATGACATGAAGGTCATAAGGTCGACGAGAAAAAACTTCAATTCACTAACATTTTTTGTTGCATATGATCAGGTTGAATATCTGTTTTTTTCGATCATCTAAAATTTTTTTAATTATAGTCCAACATTTATAGATTTATTTTATTTCGATAGTTAAAAATTTACAGACCAATAGCTTTTCTATGAAAAATATCTCTGAAAATTTATTCAAAAATGACATTACTTATGACTTAATGTAATATTATTGGTAAATAAAGCAATCGATTTTCTTACAAAGGTGTATTATCGGGTCCTTTCATTGCGAGTATTTTTTCAATCGTGCAAGCAGCATATGTGTGTACAACGATATTTGAAGCACTTAAATGCCTAATTAGTTGTGGTAAACTACCAATTATCATTTCTCTTGGCAATATTGATCTGAAGGTCATTATAAATTTAATTGCATCAGCTTTAAGTACAGAAAATTCATTCACTGGAAACAATATTCAAATTTTTTAATGCTTTAAGAGATTTATGGAATAAATTTAATTTTAGTAAGTTTAATGACTGTATGTACCATTTGGTTTAACTAACTCCGGTTCAATATGTTGCATTGCAAATTGAGGTAATGAAACAAGCTCGCTGCTCTGCGTAACACCATGTTTTTGTGTTTGAGCTTTGCTTGCACTACTGGTGACTAGATAAATTGCAGCATCCTTACTGCGCCAATTTTCAACTGGTTTATCAGCATAATTTTGTAACATCACCTAACAATTACCAAAAAAAATGCAATGACATGTATAAGTCAATTTTGTTTGCATGCTCTTGTTTACTTACCTGTATATAGGCACCAAAAATTTCCATTATTTTCGCTTCAAAATATTTAGAAAGTACTTTAACTAAATCACAGGCAGCACGTCTTCGTGTATCGACATCGCTACCCTCAATATCTCGCCTGATATATTCCTCAGGATTATCCTCAAATAATTCATTATCCGACTCTATTAAATATATTAAATTTTCTTTTTATGCAAAGTACAAGACACATAAAGAATATACTTTTAATATAAGATTAATGGTAATTACCTCTAAATTCCATATTAGGTATTATAACCTTTTCACAAATATTGCTCAAAGTGGTTGGATCTTCGAACAAGTTTCTATACTGAGCACGGTCAGCTACTGTTGCTAAAAATTGCAAGGCATTCGAAACTAGCTGCAAGAATATAAAAAATTAGATCAATTTCAATATGTATACTATATATAAAATTTACCTACAGTATCATATTTTGGTTGTTGCCCAGTCGATGTTAGTAAATTCCATACAGCAGTTACAAATTCAGGTAAGTATGGTTGAAACTCTTCATCATATTTCTGAGCATAAAGGCCAATATTGTCACAAACTTGTGACTTTAACTGTTCAATTACTCCTGGTTCTTCTTCGTCCTATGCATAGGTCAAACATTGTAACATACACATATTACTAGAATTAAAAATATAATAACAAATTTATATATAACACTACAGTAGATTGAAGAGAGGGAACATTTGTATTCAACAAAATATGAAAATTCCTCATCCACACAGCCATATTGTCTTCAAAAAATTCTGGTAAATCCTAAAAATAAAGGATATATAGTTTCAGTAAAGAAATTTAACACTTTATATTGATTATATCGTCTGTGTCTTTTACTCACTTGGAAATTAAGAGAGTAGAACACCTTGGATAAAATTACCAAAGAGCTATATATAACTTTCAATGCGTCTATATTGTTTGCATGTACTTGCATTAGATTCATTGTAGCCTAAAATAAAATTTAAGGGAATAATTAATAAAGAATAATTAGAGGAGAAACTATAAAATAAAATTCTTACAACAAATAGATCTGTCAAAGGTTTAGCAAATCTATCCAATACAAATTTTATCTCAGTCCATAGGCTCTGACTTTTAAATTCATATCTATATCTTTTAAATAATGAATGTGCTGTATGTAAGACACCATTGATAACATGAAAATCGCCTGTATTGAATTTTTCAACCATTTGGTCGATAAGCTCTGGCCATTTATTTGGGAAATCATACTTTCCAACTATTGAAACAGCATCAGATAACTGTTTTTGAACAGAATCAGGAGAATGCAGCATTAGATTAACAATTAATTTTTTTATAGCATCCCTATCTTGCGCATGTATACGATCTACAGAATCTTCTCCCTAGGTACAAATAAATTATGTTATAATTAAGGATTAATTTATTAGAAAAATGTTATAATAAAAGTTACATAAATAATGTAAATAATTACCACTTTCCAATTACGTTTTACATAATTTTTAAATGCAACTGCTCCAGCGATTCTTATAGTTATATTGATTTCAGACTTATCCACAAGATGTAAAAGAAGTAATGGATAATTTTGATTTATTTCAACTGATTCTAAAAATTTTTCGGCTAAAGCATAAAAAAGAAATAATTCATGAATTCAGTAAAATACGTGTATATATATATATTTTTTTTAATTTATACATAAGAAATATAAATATAGAAGTTATTTCTCTGTAAAAGATTCATAAAACATTAAAACAAAAGACCAAAATCACAAACTAAATATTATAAACTATGTATCTTGTTGATTTTAATTAGGTGAAAACATAATATTTTATCAACACAAGTTATGTTATTTAATAAAAAATGGGAAATCGAAAGTATAGGACATCTTTCGATGTCTTTCTGGAAATTCAATCGATACATATCTATATTTAAAACGATTTTATTAGTATTAAGTTATCTCTGTTTTTCAAATAGTTGAAAGAATAATATAGTACTTGTTGATATCCACATGCCAAATTTCCTCTAATAGCAGACGAATCAAATTGCAAATGATGATCAAAATAATTAAACAAAAAATTTAAGTATGAACTATTTTTACAAATAGGAATGTACACATGTTCGGGATTATATAAAATATTTTCAATTAAGAACTTCTGATTAATAGAGAGGTTATATTCACCTGGCCGTCTAACATTTACATCGGGGCTAAGTGTATGCTTTAAATATTCACTGAGTGTAAGCAAGTTGTCATCGGTGAGTTCCATAATGGCTTGTTGTAAAAATTCTGTATACTCTCAATTCGAAAAAATATGAAATCTTCAGAAAAATATCTTGAAACAACGCAATACACCGGCTTTTGATAAATTCAATTTTCTAACCAATGATCGTTGCCTGTTGGCGTTAGCGCTTTCTACAATGGTTTACGCGGGAAAAGTTTTTGTTGAAACCAAGCGGGATAATATATTTTATTTTATTTGTGTAGGTTATGATAGTAAAAAATTTCTCTGCAAAGAAAGGATAAATTAAAAATGACAATTGGAATAAATCATGGATGTACGGTTTATTAAAATTCACATTAATCCTTTTTTTTTTTTAGTAAGAAATGAGATTTATTGAGGTTGAAAAATCGATAAATTTGCGTTTGATTAATTATTAAACTTTAGATTGCATGATAATTTTCGTACAATTATTATAATTCAACGTTACTTGTTTATGTATTTTTTAAGAATGACATTTTATATCTAATTTAAAAAGGTAGAAAATAGGAATGAACTCTTTAAGTTCGAGGTTTTAAGTAAAACATTTAAGATTCGTAAGCTTCATGTTTTATGACAAGCAATAATTGTATCCAAAAACTGCAAGGTATGGATGGTGAAAATAAATAAATAAAATAAATAATAAATAATAAATACAAATATTAAATGTATTTTACAATTAATAGAAAAATTAACACTTAAGCCGAATATTTAATTTATATTCTTATTTTATATTATTATTCTATTTCAAAATATAGGGTATAATAGTATAATAAAATGGTGGTATAAATAAAACAGTTTTAATCTTTATATTAATGTATTTTATTATTGCAGTATAATAGTAATATATATTAACTTATATTAGTAATCACTTATTTTGAACATTATTAAGTATCATTCTCTTCTGTTTAATTTCATTCTCCAGCTTTCTTAGCATATTTTGAGCACATGTAATTTGTAATAATTTATAAGTATTAATTGTCCTATATATAGCATTTAAAAGACACACAATTATTGAAGATATACCTGAATTGATAATTATAGCAAAAATTAATTGCGCTTACGTTATATTCGTCAAAACGAAATTAACTTTCGATGCTGTTTCAGTTTCTTCAGAGTTTGATATTTTTTCTAGGTTTGATAATTTTTCTGCAAACGTTGGCAATTCGTTATACATTTGTTGATACTGCTTTTGAAATTCTTCAATTTTATCACGTAAATTTTTATTTGTCTATGAAAAGGATACTAATTATTTATTATATATTCACAATTATAAGATACAATATATTTACGATGCAGAATATATATAAATGAACGTACATATTCTGTCTGTGCATGCAGAAAATTGTTTGTATACCTTATGCCTTTAATTCGAAATTTATCGCTGAAAATAAAGAAAACTTCTCATAAAATTATTATTTTTTGTCAATGATTTTTTATTCATTAAAGTAAACAATCTCTTTAGAAAGAAAATCAAACCATTGTTTCGTGAAATATGTTGTTCTTTTTGTTATTAAATCTTTCAATTCTTGTTGTTTAAGATCAATCACATTTGTAGCCTTCGATATTGCTTTTTTAAGACTAGCTTCCTTTTTTTGCAGTTCCAAATATTTTACCTGACCTGCCCAAATGTTCATCGATAAAGTAGATAAATGTGAGTTCCAGTAATATCGATCCTTTTTCTGTTTGCCATTCGTTTCTTCTAACTCAGTGAACTTTCAACGAAAGAATAAAATGTATAGTCAGTTATTAATAAACTCAACATTATTTCTTACAAATGGAAAATAAAAATAAATGAATAAAACGACTACCTGTTTAATTAGATAATTAATTCGATCTACTTGGTTAGTAAATTCTTCGTAAATATCTTCCATTTTCTTCGAAGATTCAGTCATATTTTGTTATTTTATTAATATAATTTAAGCCTTTCAATCTACTAGATGATCCATCAAATTTTTTGAATTTTTATCTATGCTTATCTGTTGAAAAGATGTTATAGCTACAAAAAGTACGTCCGTCGCGACCTCTATAGAGAAAACATCAAATTACATGCATATCTATATATATGTTTGTATGTATGTAATCGCATGTTATTTATTATATTAAATATTATGTATGTAGACCATATAAACAAATCTCGATATTCGCTAGGGAAAACCGATTGAAAATTGAGTCGTGACTAGTTGCGAAAAATCAACATGGATGACAAGGAAGTCGTCGTTCTACGCATGCGTGATATGTTATAAATATTTCAAACAAAAACAGAGATATTCTACTCATCTCTGTCTGTTTTGCAAGAACGACGGCTTTAGAGACCTTCCATGTTGATCTTTTATGACTAGACCTGACTCAATTTTCGAACGGTTCTTCCTAGCGCGTATCGAGACCTATTTATATGATCGTGAACGAGGTAGAGATAATATCAGAAAGGAAATTTCTTCTTTGATAACACATATGTTAGGTTAAAAATGTTTTTAAATGTTCATAAACATATTTTTAAGACATGGTCTAATCATACTTATATACGTAAATATGGGATATGCAAATCATGATTTCCAAATTTTTTTTATCATTTTTAATTTTAAATAATTTATTTATTATAGATATATAACTTTTATCATTAAAAAAAAAATAAATAAATAAATAAATATATATATATAGAGAGAGAGAGAGAGAGAAAGAGAGCCACTAATACGAATCGAATTGTTCTTAATGTTCAAATACATCAAATATTATTGAAACGATGCAAATCACGGCATTGTACCAAACTTGTCAAACAATCGGATTACGTTCAGCTGTGCGATTAGTAATTAAAACGTCTGCGTCATCAGACGAATGCTATTTATGAATATGAATCTATGCATCTTTCCAAATATAGGGAACGTGTAATTTAGAATTTTAATTTATGTACGTATTATAAATCGTAAACGATTGATCATTTTCACAACGATATTTTTAACTTCATTTCGGTCGATAGTATGTAATACTTGAAAGATTCTCAACACAGTTCTTCTCTTCTTCCCGTGAAAATCAAATCAAAACTGAAGTATGTATTTTTGTAATCTGTACATGGTAAGGTTTAGTGATATATGAGTAGAATAATCATTTTTTTCAGTTTGTATTTCATTTATGAAATTAGAAAAAATGTTCTTCTATTTAAGTAATATAAAATGGTAAGTAATAAAATGTACAATTTTATATGGTGAAAATTTTAACAAAAATAATAGGAATAACGTCGTTATATAAATAGCGATTTATTTAAGTATTTTGAAGTGATAATTGTATGTGTAAATGAAAGTAATATTATTATAAATAATTATATTACACTAAATTCACATTAGTTACAATTATCAATCGTTTAAAAATAGTGCTTTTTATTATTAATAATATTTTAAATTATATTTAATTTTATAATAAGAAAAAGAAAGCAATGTTAATAAAGCGATATAAACAACAACGATATTTATTTATCTAAACATGATAGCAAAATCGATAACGAATAATGACCAAAAGAGTACATTAATTTTATAGTCACTAAAACTCTTCAATTGGGACTCGAAAATCCAGTTTCTCCGATAACGTCTAATCTAATTATTGAATATAACAAGGAAGGTTCCATATTTTCTAAAATTATAAGTCGATAAAAATCACGAATGAAAATCAAAGTTTTTTATTAATTACTAATTAACATTTCATTTCCTCTAATCATAATTTTGTCGTTATTAAGAGATTAAAATTTCTTTAATCGGTCAAAACTGCAGTTGGAAATTAATTATTTACCTATTAAATATCTATAACACGATAAGCTTTATATTTGTTTGAAAAAACTTTTTTTAAAAATCTTTTATTTAAAGACCGTGAAAATATTACACGAATAAGAATTATATGCGAAAATTGGAATTTTTCATTAGTTACTAATTGATACTGTTAAATAAATTTCAATGATTATTATTCTTGTAACGTCGCATCTTTGATGAAAAGATTTTTTTTTCTTTTTAAGGCGCTTGAAATTTTACGTAAAATTTATTTCAGCTGTGCAGATATTCACAATATTAATATTGACAAAGTTAAAATATTGTTAGATTTTTCCAATAATACGCTTTTTCAGAGAGATTTCTTCTTAAAAAAATAAGTTTTTTCTTAAAAAATTATAAATATGGAATTAAGCCGATATAAGATGCAATAATTCAAAAAACAACAATATTGTTCAATTTACTCGACTTGGACCTTCTTACGCAATAATTTATCAATTTATAATATTAGTAAATTGACAGGTTAGAAGTAGTATGTTATAGATTTCTTTTTCACGATCTTACAATCTTGAACAGTGTAACTAGATAACTAGTAATTTGTAAAACTTACTTTTAACATTCCATTAATTTTATTATCAAACATGTTATTATTATGCAAAAGAATTTATTAATACTAATGGCTCGAAATTTCTAACAGCTGCAACTTATAAAGTTTCGTTAATACTAATAATATTAGCGAAATGACAAGTTACGAGTTATAGGTTATAGATTTCTTTTTATAACTCTACGTCAACTAGGATAACTGTACTTCTGTTATGATAATATAACAATAAAGAAAATTGATTAGAAATGCTAATAACTTGTGAAGTAACATTTCACTAATAATATCAATGGAATAGTGGTAGAGGGCTCTGATTCGATTAAAAAATCGAATTGGAAGCTCGAGGGTTTTGTACTGCATGTTTCTATTTTCCTAAGCGTTGCGTGTAGTGTAATTGACGACGTCTCGGTGAACGTTTACTCGTAAAACGCGTTGGCGGTGTTTCGTAGTCGGTAAGTAGTCGCCGAGTAGTCGTCGCGCAAACTGCATTCATCGAGCTTTTCCGTTATACTCCTTGTAATTTCAGAGAACTTCAATTAGTTTCAGTGTTAAAAACCATACAACAAGAAAGAAATTATTCTTTATCCAATTGAATTCTTATAAAGAAACATGTACCTCAAGGTTGGTCAATTGCAGTTTTTATCAAAATCTTTCTAATTCGAGGTGAGTCATTGATAATACTTTATACACCGATGTTTAACACTGATGATTTAATAGCAATGAGAGACAGGTTGAAATTGCGAAGTTATCGGTAACATCATATTCTTCATTTTAAGAAAGGAATTTTTTAGTAGGAAATTGGTAAATATTGTTTGATATTGTTTTTTTAGAGAAAATTTATTTTAATGGTAGTTTTGGACAAGCGTGTAGAAGAGTGGAAAAGGTGCAAGAAAAAAGCCACATTGTAAACCCTCTTCTATCAATAACAATATTAATATTGTTTTTCACTGTGTGCATTATCAGAGAGCATTCTTATATGTACAGTATACAATTTTTAAATATCTATAGATTTGATAACAAAACAAATAAAATTTTACGAATTACAATTTACATATTTCAATTTATATTCAATCATTCAATAGTCATATTTTGTATAAAATTTAATTAAGAAGAGAGTGATCGATTATCTTAATATTTAATGAATTCTGTTATAAATCATATTTATCAAATATTTTTAATATTATCTATTAACCACAAACTATTAAAGTATTACTATTAAACTACAAGCTATTATTTGTCAATTCACTAATATTATTAGTTAGTACATTATTGTACAGGAAGACTCGGATATTTGAAGACCGATTGTATGTATACATACATATATGTTCAAGTAGAAAATAGGATAAATAGGATTTATTCTGTTTTAGTTTTTTTATAATTTTTATTTAACTTATCGTAACATAATACATAAATAAGATAATAGATCATTTCTTGGGAATTTAATTAATTTCTTTGATTTTTATTTGGCGTAATCATGTAATTGGAATTTCCTATGTGCGATGTGGCGTGTGTGATCACATTTGATCGCGTAACTGATAATGTTATCGCTCGTTATCAGCATGAGAAATCGACACACTTACCACTTTCGTTTCTATCCTATATTGGCGAAATATTAAATATTAAATATGTGTATAATTGTATGATAATTAAATGTATATATTGTAAGTTATTGTTTCCCCGATGAGGTTACAGGGCTCACGTTATCTTATCTCACACACTATATCAAAAACCATCTTTTTTACATTAACTTAACAACTAACTTACACCTATGGTATTATTGTCTAACTACTTACATTTATCTACGCACATGTACAGATTGAATCCTCCCGTCACATTCTACTCCTGTATGCGTGTACTAAGTATATAATTGTATAATAATTAAATATATTAAACATACAATTGACAATATCGTATATTGAATACAAAATTGTGTATAAATAGCGTGTATAAATAGTCTTTTCAATAAAAGAAACAACACACTTTAATATAGTGTATTGCAAATTTCGAACTTATACCAAGTGATTGTTAGTGGTCATGGGAACAAGTTCATTATGTATTTATAGATTTAAAACAAATTTCATGCTCAGGGCTCACTTCATAGGATTCAATATAATGGTTTAATGATTGTATTTGTCAGGTGTGAATCTTCACAAAGTGGATTCGAACCGCGAATCAAGTATTTGCAAGTTTCGAAAATCTATTTCTAACTACTTGGACGTTTCGACGTATCTGATTAATCACTTGCAGATAACAATCGAGTAACAATCGGCATTATCGTTTCAGTGAATTCTTTTAGCAAGCTTAAAAAATTAATTTTGCTAGAATTATAGGTGATAAACGGGATTGCTATAAATTTCATTTAAATGGCTGCACTTGTATGTAACTATTTCAGAACGATTGCCGAGAAAACTGATTTTAAGGGAATAGAGAATTTCTGATAGGTTGCCCGTAAAGTTTCAAATTTCTATTCTAGCAAATTATGTTCGATTCTATTTGAGATTGCCCTTTTTCTTTGCCAAAGCATTCGTGAAAGATTCGAATCTATGTTAGACGATGTTTAAACGTTCAAACTTGAGTGCATCATTAATTGCGAGCAATTTGTAGGAAGGCAGGTTTCATGCGATTACTTTATTATGCGAACTATACATATTCACGAGAATACGTAGTACGAAACAGGATGAGAAATGATAATCTACCAGGAAATGACACTATTTCATTTTGCTACAGGAAAAACAACAATTTCAAGTTCTTAGAAAAACCATTACAGTTTTTATGATAACTGATTAAACGATTAACGACGTAATAATGAAATTAAAATTATAAATTTTTGGTTTAGAAACGTGAAATAATGGAAAATATTTTCTAGATAAAAGTCTATCTTCAATTGGAATGAGGTTGTAAAGATAACTACTCAATGTACGTGATAATTAGAATGTCGACCAAGTCACGTAAAAAACGATGTTTTGTAGTTTTTAATTATGTGCTCTTGAAGGCCTAACGCGAACACGCAGGTTCATGAACAGATTATGTCATCACTACCATAGTTGCGTGTCTGCAACCTATTTACATACATAAAAAGTCTTACCTCATTGTGTGAGAGAAAGGTAAATATTGCGAATCTTTGAAACAC